GATATCATCATGTAAGGCTTCTTGTTTTGTGACACTATGTCATAATAACATGAAATAAAGATTTAATTTTTTTTTTTAGTTGAAGAATACGTGACATGGATCATAGACAAGGCAGCCGACACTCTGAGACAGGAGTTGCCTAGCAACACAACGACCTTAACAGTGAGGCCAGCAGACGACAACATATCATTGTCCTCCAGTATCATCAGCCGTAAGTCATTTTGTTGCTACAAAGGTTAATTGTAACAACATCCCTATTGCCTCGGGGAATGCGTAGGATAGCTGATATTTTGCACTTTGTCTGCCCCGCACTTCCGGGTAAATACGAAGGTTGCGACTTTTGCCAACATTTTACCTTCTGGCAGTCTCCGCAGGTAGGGGCCTTACCAAGAGCGAGGCGCAGGTAAAACTGATCTGTGCATGAAATAATGCGTTTAGATAAACCATGAATATATTGATAATTCTACATTTTCAATAGTTATTTATGACATATATCTAAAACAAAGTACTGTGAATAAAGGTTGTACCTTTATACGGAAATTTTATGGTTGTTTAAGTACATTGCAGAGATAAAACTTATCCAATGAGTTTGGGATGTTTTTACCGCTGACTGTTGTTTTTTTCACCTTGACACACGGTAATCTTAAGAGTTATCTGCTATCCCATTCCCAGGTACTCCTGCAGCAACGACTGAAACACATAAACACCCGATTATTTTTTGTAAAGAGAATTCTTAATTCTGAGAAGTTACTTTTTAGTGTACACGATATAATTATTTTTTTTGACAGAAATTGCTGATATGGCTGTAACAGAGAGCTTGTCAAATATTGTGATAGATGTCGACACCAACCACTCTGCTATAAGAGCTCCTAGAACTATCAAAGAATTCAAGGGTAAGCATGTTTATTTAATATTTTGTGACAAACCAAAAAAGCCATACAGTAATTCATAATTTTTCATAAAAATAGGCGTCGAGCCGACCAAGAGAAAAAACTTCTGACGAGCTTTCTTTTAAACAAGTTAAAGCACTGGTTACACTTCAAAAGAGCAATTGTGTTCATTCTTTTACAGAAGCATTTGGCATAACCGGATGTGACATCACTGATGATGGTCGTCCACCTGTAAGTGACTAAATGATTAAGGTAAGAATTGATAATAAATTCAGATTTTTTTTATCAAATCCATTGTTGAAACATTTGGAAACGTAAAGTATGTATACTTAGGTATGCCTTCTACAATATTATTACAAATCTAAAGAACTCGCTAAAGCCACACGTTGAAATATCTTAACTTTCGATATATTGTAGAAATTGTTTTAACTTTAATTTGGCTAAATGCATATAAAATGAACATATGAAGGTTGAATGATAAGATAACTTTGTAATAAAAGCTCGTGATGCTTACATGTGGTACTCTATCTCAGCTAATTGTTATAAAGACAAAAGTTTTTATAGTCCTTATTTCAAACACCTAATCTTAAATCAATGGCCAAGTTAACTGTACGCAAACGTTCTTTTGTTATGAAGACATATTCTGTTATTGAAAAAAGGTCCGAATATGTTGATATAACACAGCATTCCAATACAAATTTAAGTACATGTATATACAAAATACATGTCTGAAGAAACTTGTACCCCACATTATTCTTTTTCACACTTTGTCTAACCATTGGAATACCTCCTTGATTATTCCCATATTCACGACGTTTGACGGAAATGACCGAAAGGTTGCATCTCTATACCAGATAGCTAGAATTATGTTCCTGTCCTCTTTCTAAAGTTCAAGTTGCGCCAATTTCTGAATTTCCATAAAATAAGCAATATTGAATATTAAATATGTAAAATTGATCATTTCTGGAAAACATGTCTTTTGTTACCTAGTTTGTTCTTCAAATTTCAGATTGAAAGAAGAAGAAAGAAACCACGTGCATGTCTATTTTGTTTGTTTTGTTTTGCTGTTTCGTTTTGATTGCTTGTTTTGTTGTTGTTTTTTTTTTGCTTTGTTTTTTATATCATTATTTTCGTCTTTTCATGTTCTGCTCAGGCATCGATTTTATATCTTTAAATATTATTGTCATAAACATGTTTCTGAATTTTATTTTTACTAATAAAGTCCATTGAAACAAACACTTGTCTATAATTTTCTATCTTCCAGTAAATTTCTCATGGAAACAGTCACAGTTTGAAACATTTCGTTTTTATGCTTTTCCAATAATTTTGGCTGCACATCATATTGCAAGAGAAAAAATGATAATTATATAAGGCATGATAGACACTCAACACAACTTTTTACCATGCGCAAGACGGCTGTAAACTTAAATAAGTTTGTGTATGAGTTTTGAATGCTAATGTGTGTGTTAAATTTGAATACTGAAGTAAGCTTTTGCGTGATCTTTGCTAAACACGTACAAAAGCCTTATAAGAGTTTGTTTCCGTTTGTTACAATTTATTCTTAAAAAAAGGAAAAAAGAAGATAAAACAACAACAACAACAACAACAACAACAAAACATTTGTAATACTAAAAAACGTTTAAAACAAATAATGAAATAAGATCACTGCAATGCATGTTCGTTCTGGATATGCTCCTGTACTTACGGTGGCACAAAGATGACATGTGTGTGTTTTTAATTTATCTCGTGCGCACGAGTTACTAAGTTGTGGCTACGAGATAATTAAGTCGTGGGAACGAGATACTATGTCGTTGGCACGAGATACTAAGCCGTGGCCACGAGTTACTAAGTCGTGGCCACGAGATAGTTAAGTCGTGGGAACGAGATACTATGTCGTGGCCACGAGTTACCATGGATATAAAAATGTGTAATATATTTTTTTTTGCTTGCAAATTCTTGTCTTATTCTATGTTATTTTATGAAAAAATATTAAATGAGAGTTTTGAACATTTTCGAGAACGGAAACAAAACTGCCAAGAATTTGTGTTGTCGAAAATTGTCTGTGTATGTGAATCATTCATGTAAAGCAAATACATGTACATGTAATATTGTTGCGCTACGGTCAAGCTATATGGTACCAGGTCCCTTTAAATCTATTTAAAAATGTGGTAACGTGTGACCAATTATCAGACTGGACTGTAGAGAACGATACTGTACACAATTATAACAAATAAAAATAGAAATTGTTATGGTTAGGGGGACTAATGATACTTGATTTGGATGGCTGTCAAAGCCTATAGATCCATTTAGCTGAAATATGCTATTATGACATCTGCCAATAGTGGGCTACTCTGTATAACACTGTATGGCTTAGACACTGTACTCCAAAGTACTTGATAATAATTCCTTACTTCTGGAGGTACATGTATGCCAGTTTAAGATTAAAATTGAGTCACAAAAAAGAAAGACTGTTCACAGTTTACTAATTTTAATTAGTGATAAACTGTTAATAAATTCAAATGTGAAATATTCAAATAACAGTATTGTATATAACATCAACACATGTATATAATTCAGTCTTAAATATCCGATAGCTATATCTTACATAGACTTCACATAAATTATTACCGCGACTGACGTTTAATTTCTATTAAAAAATGTGGAAACGTAAATATAAAGTTTGGTCGAGTCAGTGACCGTAATAATGTGAAACAAAAATTATAAAGTTCTTATCAATTATTCTTAGACAATAATTGATTAAATGTAAAATAATAATCTATAGACTATGTCTTATTTTGCCTTAAAAAATAAGTAAAAATTGCCGTTCAGAAGAACACGACAATAATGTATACTAACCGAAAGTTAAATGAAAACTGACTGAAGTTGATCGTTTTCTGGCCTATTTATACCAAATCTGAGAAAACGAACATAAAAAGGTTCGAAAAATGTTCAGCTTTACGTTTTGGTCAGTGGACAATGGTCGATGTTCGAAAACTGATCATTTGACGTTCGGAAACGATCATTTCCATACAGAAAGAATTCTGTCAACCAACCGAACGTCCGAATATCAACAATTCTTAGCTAACGTTCTATGAAAGTTTACATAAAATATGATAAAATTGATACATATAATATTTATAAAAATGACTAGTACCATGGATTGACTATAAGTTTGTTGCTTTTGATGAAACATAACTTTGAAACAATTTGTTTACTGAGCTTCAGCAGCAATTGCTATTGACAACGGAAATCATACAACCCATAATGCATTAGCGAACAACAACACTACCTGTCAAAGTTTATCGAGTAAAATCACAATAAATGCTACTTTTTAGCTAAGTGTACGCTGTTTATAAGAAAATATGTAAACAATTAATGAAATAAATCATTACTCTTTATAATTCTGACATTATTTATGGTTGTCAGTCTATGAAATTAACAAAAAAAAAAAGCGTTTACCGGTACATGCAAAATGTAAACAATGCTGGCAATTACTTACGATAAGAGTACACAAATGCGATTATATCAATATTACGAAAATATAATGAGGCTTCATAATTGAAGTACTCGCTCCTGTCTGTTAATTAAGAAACAGTTTTATGTTTAAAATCATATATTACTAAAAATTTTTATTGCAAGCACCTTCCCCCATCATTACATTTTCCCTGCTATTCTATTCTTATTAATATTTTATGCGGTTCTGTGGAGTCATATATCGAGACATAAAAACCTTTATACAGAAATTAGTATAGTGGAATTACGCATAGATATCAATGTTGATATTAACTCGTGAATCATATTGGTTTAAAGAAGCTCTTCAGGCAGACATTGATAGCTTGGTAGGGAACCATAATTGGACAGGGAACCAGATTATCCCGTTGCCAACTAGCATTCGGTGATGTTTTTATTTAACGGTAAACTAAAACACGCAGCAATTGTGACGTCACAAAAAGTTGACGTTACGCATTAGCAGCGTCATAATGCACCCGGAAGATTACAAAGGCTGTTTGTAAACCATTTAATTATGAAAAATTAATGGTCGTGAAAATCGAGGCTGTTTCGTTTGGCTCATAAGTTTAAAGAAGTCATGGGCAACGAAAGGGTGAGTAGAATAAATAGAATTTTTGAACATTCAGTTTAGATAATAAATCAACGGTTTTTTTGAGAATCATTTAAAATGGCGGCATAATTTACTTTGGGGAAATTTATTGATGGCGATTGTGTTGATGATTATAAAAATAATAATATAAAAAAATATTAATATAATAATAATAATAATAATGATATATATTCAATGATAAAATGATAAGATGATTCTAAGATTTTAGTGGGAACTAAAAATTTAAACATGAGCAGTGTCATTAACATTTCAAATAAAAAAATATACAATAAAATCATGGGCTTCTGAAACTTGAATGCAGGTTAATACTTAAAATAAAGAACATTTACTGTTTTACAGTTTGCAAGATTTCGAAACTGCATGCGCCAAAGATAATTACTATGCAAGAAGAGGCAAGACCCTTGACCCAGAAACCTTGTTAAATGAAACAGGAAATGCCGACATGGTCGTCTGTAAGATTGCCAGCAAGTCAAATAAAGTCGCTCCTCAATGGCTGTCATCTCTGATTGGTATGGTAGTTTATACATTAATTTATAAGTTGTTTTATAAAAGAATTCTTACTGTAGTATTTTCTACAAACATTTACAGTTTTAATGTCCAGAAACGAAAATCAAAGTACAGAATTGCAGATTGGCTGAATATAAACAACTAAAATGTAAAGGAAAAAAAACATTTTCCTTTCTCTCTCCCTCTCTTTGATTTTGTTCAATTTTCGTATAATAAAAGATGTAACAAAATAAAACATAACAATTTTGAAAACACACTCCTTTTTCAGGTGATGTTGTTGATAATGAAAGTGCAACAGTGATTAGAGACCACATCAGACGACAAACTTGGTAAATACATGTATATTTTCTCAATTACTTTTACAATGTCATTACTGAAAATACAGCAGAAATTCCAAAAAATATCTTTCAAAATTTAATCAGATAGTTGAAAAAGTCCGTTTTGTAATCCATCAAGTGCAGCATATATTGCCGTTGCTACATCTTTAATGAACCCGCAATTTAATTAGCTGTATAGTTTAAACAGAATGCTTACGAAATATTTTGTTAAATTATGCATTCAATATAAAAATGAATGTGCTTTTAAACCGATCACATTCAAATTTATACTGATCATTTAGATATCATCATGTAAGGCTTCTTGTTTTGTGACACTATGTCATAATAACATGAAATAAAGATTTAATATTTTTTTTAGTTGATGAATACGTGACATGGATCATAGACAAGGCAGCTGACACTCTGAGACAGGAGTTGCCTAGCAACACTACGACCTTAACAGTGAGGCCAGCAGACGACAACATATCATTGTCCTCCAGTATCATCAGCCGTAAGTCATTTTGTTGCTACAAAGGTTAATTGTAACAACATCCCTATTGCCCCGGGGAATGCGTAGGGTAGCTGATATTTTGCACTTTGTCTGCCCCGCACTTCCGGGTAAATACGAAGGTTGCGACTTTTGCCAACATTTTACCTTCTGGCAGTCTCCGCAGGGTGGGGCCTTACCAAGAGCGAGGCGCAGGTAAAACTGATCTGTGCATGAAATAATGCGTTTAGATAAACCATGAATATATTGATAATTCTACATTTTCAATAGTTATTTATGACATATATCTAAAACAAAGTACTGTTAATAAAGGTTGTACCTTTATACGGAAATTTTATGGTTGTTTAAGTACATTGCAGAGATAAAACTTATCCAATGAGTTTGGGATGTTTTTACCGCTGACTGTTGTTTTTTCACCTTGACACACGGTAATCTTAAGAGTTATCTGCTATCCCATTCCCAGGTACTCCTGCAGCAACGACTGAAACACATAAACACCCGATTATTTTTTGTAAAGAGAATTCTTAATTCTGAGAAGTTACTTTTTAGTGTACACGATATAATTATTTTTTTTGACAGAAATTGCTGATATGGCTGTAACAGAGAGCTTGTCAAATATTGTGATAGATGTCGACACCAACCACTCTGCTATAAGAGCTCCTAGAACTATCAAAGAATTCAAGGGTAAGCATGTTTATTTAATATTTTGTGACAAACCAAAAAAGCCATACAGTAATTCATAATTTTTCATAAAAATAGGCGTCGAGCCGACCAAGAGAAAAAACTTCTGACGAGCTTTCTTTTAAACAAGTTAAAGCACTGGTTACACTTCAAAAGAGCAATTGTGTTCATTCTTTTACAGAAGCATTTGGCATAACCGGATGTGACGTCACTGATGATGGTCGTCCACCTGTAAGTGACTAAATGATTAAGGTAAGAATTGATATATAAGTGACTAAATGATTAAGGTAAGAATTGATAATAAATTCAGATTTTTTTTTATCAAATCCATTGTTGAAACATTTGGAAACGTAAAGTATGTATACTAAGGTATGCCTTCTACAATATTATTACTTTAAAGAACTCACTAAAGCCACACGTTGAAATATCTTAACTTTCGATATATTGTAGAAATTGTTTTAACTTTAATTTGGCTAAATGCATATAAAATGAACATATGAAGGTTGAATGATAAGATAACTTTGTAATAAAAGCTCGTGATGCTTACATGTGGTACTCTATCTCAGCTAATTGTTATAAAGACAAAAGTTTTTATAGTCCTTCTTATTTCAAACACCTAATCCTAAATCAATGGCCAAGTTAACTGTACGTAAATGTTCTTTTGTTATGAAGACATATTCTGTTATTGAAAAAAGGTCCGAATATGTTGATATAACACAGCATTCCAATATAAATTTAAGTACATGTATATACAAAATACATGTCTGAAGAAACTTGTACCCCACATTATTCTTTTTCACACTTTGTCTAACCATTGGAATACCTCCTTGATTATTCCCATATGCACGACGTTTGACGGAAATGACCGAAAGGTTGCATGCGATCTCTATACCAGATAGCTAGAATTATGTTCCTGTCCTCTTTCTAAAGTTCAAGTTGCGCCAATTTCTGAATTTCCATAAAATAAGCAATATTGAATATTAAATATGTAAAATTGATCATTTCTAGAAAACATGTCTTTTGTTACCTAGTTTGTTCTTCAAATTTCAGATTGAAAGAAGAAAGAAACCACGTGCATGTCTATTTTTGTTTGTTTTGTTTTGCTGTTCTGTTTTGATTGCTTGTTTTGTTGTTGTTGGTTTTGTTTTGCTTGTTTTTAATATTATAATATTCGTCTTTTCATGTTCTGCTCAGGCATCGATTTTATATCTTTATATATTATTGTCATAAACATGTTTCTGAATTTTATTTTTACTAATAAAGTCCATTGAAACAAACACTTGTCTATAATTTTCTATCTTCCAGTAAATTTCTCATTGAAACAGTCACCGTTTGAAACATTTCGTTTTAATGCTATTCCAATAATTTTGGCTGAACATCTTATTGCAAGGGAAAAGATGATAATTAATTAAGGCATGATAGAAACTCAACACAAATTTTTACCATGCGCAAGACGGCTGTAAACTTAAATAAGTTTGTGTATGATTTTTGAATGCTAATCTGTGTGTTAAATTTGAATACTGCAGTAAGCTTTTGCGTGATCTTTGCTAAACACGTACAAAAGCCTTATAAGAGTTTGTTTCCGTTTGTAACAATCTATTCTTAAAAAAAAGAAAAAAAGAAGAAGATAAAACAACAACAACAACAACAACAACAAAAACAAAACATTTGTAATACTAAAAAACGTTTAAAACAAATAATGAAATAAGATCACTGCAATGCATGTTCGTTCTGGATATGCTCCTGTACTTACGGTGGCACAAAGGTGACATGTGTGTGTTTTTAATTTATCTCGTGCGCACGAGTTACTAAGTTGTGGCCACGAGATAATTAAGTCGTGGGAACGAGATACTATGTCGTTGGCACGAGATACTAAGCCGTGGCCACGAGATACTATGTCGTGGCCACGAGTTACTATGAATATAAAATTGTGAAATATATTTTTTTGCAAATTCTTGTCTTATTCTATAATATTTTATGAAAAATATTAAATGAGAGTTTGAACATTTTCGAGAACGGAAGAAAACTGCCAAGAATTTGTTTTGTCAAAAATTGTCTGTGTATGTAAATCATTCATGTAAAGCAAATACATGTAATATTGTTGCGCTACGGTCCATCTATATGGTACCAGGTCCCTTTAATCTTCTTAAAAATGTGGTAACGTGCTCAAGACTTGGTGACCAATAATCAGACTGGACTGTAGAGAACGATACTGTACACAATTATAACAATGTTCTATATAAAATAGAAATTGTTATGGTTAGGGGGACTGATGATACTTGATTTGGATGGCTGTCAAAGCCTATAGATCCATTTAGCTGAAATATGCTATTATGACATCTGCCAATAGTGGGCTACTCTGTATAACACTGTATGGCTTGGACACTGTACTCCAAAGTACTTGATAATAATTCCTCACTTCTGGAGGTACATGTATGCCAGTTTAAGATTAAAATTGAGTCACAAAAAAGAAAGACTGTTCACAGTTTACTAATTTTAATTAGTGGTAAACTGTTAATAAATTCAAATGTGAAATATTCAAATAACAGTATTGTATATAATATCAACACATGTATATAATTCAGTCTTAAATATCCGATAGCTATGTCTTACATAGACTTCACATAAATTATTACCGCGACTGCCGTTTAATTTCTATTAAAAAATGTGGAAACGTAAATAAAAAGTTTGGTCGAGTCAGTGACCGTAATAATGTGAAACAAAAATTATAAAGTTCTTATCAATTATTCTTAGACAATAATTGATTAAATGTAAAATAATAATCTATAGACTATGTTTTATTTTGCCTTAAAAATAAGTAAAAATTGCCGTTCAGAAGAACACGACAATAATGTATACTAACCGAAAGTTAAATGAAAACTGACTGAAGTTGATCGTTTTCTGGCCTATTTATACCAAATCTGAGAAAACGAACATAAAAAGGTTCGAAAAATGTTCAGCTTTACGTTTTGGTCAGTGGACAATGGTCGATGTTAGAAAACTGATCATTTGACGTTCGGAAACGATCATTTCCATACAGAAAGAATTCTGTCAACCAACCGAACGTCCGAACATCAACAATTCTTAGCTAACGTTCTATGAAAGTTTACATAAAAATATGATAAATTGATACATATAATATTTATAAAAATGACTAGTACCATGGATTGACTATAAGTTTGTTGCTTTTGATGAAACATAACTTTGAAACAATTTGTTTACTGAGCTTCAGCAGCAATTGCTATTGACAACGGAAATCATACAACCCATAATGCATTAGCAAACAACAACAACACCTGTCAAAGTTTATCGAGTAAAATCACAATAAATGCTACTTTTTAGCTAAGTGTACGCTGTTTATAAGAAAATATGTAAACAATTAATGAAATAAATCATTACTCTTTATAATTCTGACATTATTTATGGTTGTCAGTCTATGAAATTAACCAAAAAAAAGCGTTTACCGGTACATGCAAAATGTAAACAATGCCGGTAATTACTTACGATTAGAGTAAAACAAGTGCGATTATATCAATATTACGAAAATAAAATGAGCTTTCATAATTGAAGTACTCGCTCCTGTCTGTTAATTAAGAAACAGTTTTATGTTTAAATCATATATTACTAAATTTTTATTGCAACACCTTCCCCCATCATTACATTTTCACTGCTATTCTATTCTTATTAATATTTTATGCGGTTCTGTGGAGTCATATATCGAGACATTATTTAACCTTTATACAGAAATTAGTATAGTGGAATTACGCATAGATATCAATGTTGATATTAACTCATGAATCATATTGATTTAAAGAAGCTCTTCAGGCAGACATTGATAGCTTGGTAGGGAACCATAATTGGACAGGGAACCAGATTATCCCGTTGCCAACTAGCATTCGGTGATGTTTTAATTTAACGGTAACTAAAACACGCAGCATTGTGACGTCACAAAAGTTGACGTTACGCATTAGCAACGTTATATTGCACCCGGAAGATTACAAAGGCTGTTTTTAAACCATTTAATTATGGAAAATTAATGGCTAGTGAAAATCGAGGCTGTTTCGTTTGGCTTATAAGTTTAAAGAAGTCATGCAATGAAAGGGTGAGTAGAATAAACAGAATTTTCAACATTCAATCTAGATAATAAATCCACTGTTTTTTTGAGAATCATTTAAAATGGCGCCATAATTTACATAAAAATAATAATAATAATAATTATATCATAAATATTATTATTAGTAATAGTAGTAGTAGTATTATAATTATTATTATCATTATTTTTAACATTATTATTATTTTAATGATAAAATAAATGATCAGATAATCCTAAGATTTTAGTGAAAAGTAAAAATTTAAATATAAGCAGTGTAATTAATATTTCAAAAGAAAAAAAAACAGACAATAAAATCATTGGCTTCTGAAATTTAAATGCAGGTGATTACTGTATATAAGGAACATTGACTCGTTTACAGTTTGCAAGATTTCGAAACCGCTTGCGCCAAAGATACTATGCAAGAAGAGGCAAGACTCTTGACCCAGTAACCCTGTTAAACGAAACAGGTACTGCCGACATGGTCGTCGGGAAGATTGCCGGCAAGGCAAACAAAGTCGTTCCTCAAAACCTGTCATATAAGAATGGTATAGTAGTTTGTGTATTAATTTATAAATTGTTTTATAAAATAATTCTTACAGCAGTATATTTTCTACAAGCGTTAACAGTTTTTGTGTCGCCTCTACGGAGTAGTGGCGACGTATAGGGATCACTTCTCCGTCGTCTGTCTGTCCGTCTGTCTGTCTGTCTGTCCGTCCGCCCGTCACAAAACTTGTCCGGACTACTCCTCATAACTGGTGCAATTTTATCCAAACTTTACAGGAATGATCAGTACCAAGTCTAGTTGTGCATATTGTCAGCATTTTCCGGTTCAATGATTTTTGTCAGAGTTATGGCCCTTTAATAATTTTTATTTTTAAAGTTTGTCCGGACTACTTCTCTTATACCACTAATGCAATTTCAATGAAACTTTACAGGATTGATCTGTAGCTCAAGTCCTTGCGCATATTGCACGGGTTTTCCGGTTGAATGATTTTTGGCCGAGTTATGGCCCTTTGATAAAAAGGTGTTTTTTTCTGTGTGTTGCCAGATACGCAAAAGCTTGTCCGGACTACTCCTCATAAACTACTGGTGCAATTTTATCCAAACTTTACAGGAATGATCTGTACCAAGTCTAGTTGTGCACTGTCCGTCTGTCTGTCCGTCTGTCACAAAATTTGTCCCACCATGAAATTGGCCATCATGAGGCGACACATGTGATTACTGATCGCTCTTGTTTTTGTCTAGAAACGAAAATCAAAGTACAGAAGTACAGATGGACTGGCTATCTGTCAATTTAATTTTCACTGAGCAAAAAGCAGCTTAAACCTAATATTAGCATGTAGTTGTTTATTTATTTTTTTATCATTTCCATTGCCGTAAAAAACAACAGAAACACAGAAAAAAACAACAACAAACAAACATAAAAAATTCCGTTTCTCTCTCCCTCTTTGATTTTGTTAAATTTTCATATAATAAAAAATGTAACAAAGAAAACATAACAATTTGAAAACAAATTCCTTTTTCAGACGATGTTGTTGATATTGAAAGTGCAACAGTGAGAGAGACCACAGCAGACGACAAACTTGGTAAATACACGTATTTTTGTGCCCCACTTTACGGGGGGAGGGGGGGGGAATTTAGATATACCCTTGTCCCTCCGTCCATCCGTCCGTTCTCTTTTGTGTCGCACGTAGCTCAAAAGTATTTGACCTAGAGTCATGAAACCTTACAGGAATGTTGATCAGCATGTGTATTTGTGCACCTGGGTGTTTTCGTGTGGATTTATTTAGTATTTTAGAGTTATTGCCCTTGACTTAAAACACATTTGCAATTTTCAACTTGTGTCGCATGTAACTAAAAAGTATTTGACCTAGAGTAATACAACTTTACAAGAATGTTGACCAGCATGTGAAGTTGTACACCTGGGGTTTCACTTGTGGATTTATTATGTTTTGTAAGAGTTATTGCCCTTGACTTAATAAAAATTTGCAATTTTCAACTTGTGTCGCATGTAACTCAAAAAGTATTTAACCTAGGGTCATGAAACTTTACAGGAATGTTCATCAGCATGTGTAATTGTGCACCTAGATATTTTCGTGTGGATTTATTTAGTATTTGCAGCGTAATTGTCCTTGACTTAGTAAAAATTTGCAATTTTCAACTTGTGTTACACGTAGCTCAAAAAGTATTTGACATAGGGGCATGAAACTTTACGGGAATGTTGATCAGCATGTGAAGTTGTGCACCTGGGGTTTTGCTTGTGAATTTATATTATTATCAGAGTTATTGCCTTTGACTTAGTGAAAATTTGCAATTTTTAGTTGTAGCTCAAAATGTATTTAACCTAGAGTCATGAAACTTAACAGGAATGTTGGTCAACATGTGTAATTGAGCACCTTTGGTTTCGCTATTCATTCAGTATTTGTAGAGTTATTGCCCTTGACTTAGTAAAAACCGTTTCAATATGTTGTGTTATTTGTTTCTTGAGTGCTTGAGTTAAAATCAACCAGCTTTACAGGAATAATGATAAACATCACTGAAGCTATGCACCTGGGACTTTGCATGTGGATTTTTTAAAGTTTTGTATGAGTTATTGACCTTGACTTACAGTAGTATAAATTTGCAATTTTCAACTTGTTCATGCATTGCTCAAAAAGTGTTTGACCTGTAGGCCTGAAAGTTTACAAGACTGTTGGTCAGCATGTGCACTTATGCACCTTTGGGTTCACTAGCAGATTTATTTAGTATTTGTAAAGTTCTTGCCCTTTACTTAGTAAAAGAGTTTTAGTTTTCAACTTGTAGCACATGTACTCCAAAACATATTTGACCTGGAGTCATAAGATTGACAAAATAGTGGTGTGTGGGGGCACCCATGTCCTATGGACACATATCTAGTTCTCAATTATTTTTAGAATTTCATTACTTATTTCAGATGACAAACTTTTTTTTCAAAATATAGACAGGACTGATTTTAAGAAAATATGAATGCTAGAGGCATTTTATAGTACAAGTAATATCTTGAGTGTTTCAACCTAATATGGGTATGCTGAAGACGATGAGGGTGGATACCAAGAAAATAAAATTGACCTTGACCTTCAAAAGGTCAATTCAAAATGGCCGCTTAAAAATACTAAAATATGTCATTAAAACTATGATACAATATGATGCAATTAATTATTATTGTCAAAATCAAATGATTATTCAATATGATCAGATTTTAACGAGATTGGCCACCAAATATAGCGAATGTAAGCCTAATGGCTCAATTAACAGTATATACATGTACAGTACTGTTTTACTAGCGCGTTAAGGTATAAGACTAGCTAAGATTGAAAAAAAAAATCACTTTTAATGTTTTGTTTACTTGACTTATATTGAACAATAAACTTAGTTTATAAATATTACCAAAGAATAAATATTTCGTAATAACAAATTAATATTTCGTAATAAACGAATCAATTATTTCGTAATTAAGATTTTATATTTCGTTAAAACGAAATAATATTTCTAATTGGGAATTATTATCTCGTAAAAACAAATTCAATTCCTGGAGAAAGTTTGGAAAATGTCACTTTCAGGTGTTCCGTAATTTTCAACATTATTTGTAGCTATGATTTTTTTAAGTTGTTCATTTTGTTTTCATATATTTTGCACTTATTATGGTATTTATGGTTTAAAAATGAGTATTTAAAAATTATTTTGAAATGTCAAAAAGTGTCATTTCAATGCCATAAACACAACACAAACCGAGACAACAAGTGGTTTTAAAATACATACTGCGCCCTCACAAAAAAAAACAAAAAAAAAAACAAAAACAAACAAACAAAAAAACAGGTCTTAAAAAATTGGCACCAGTGGGAATCGAACCATAGACCTCGCACACATCAGTCAATCACTTAACCGTCTGTGCTACTGCGGAAGTAACAATGACGTTTACATTTTTAGCAGATATGACTTTAACTAACAATAGTTTCATAGTTTTTTTTTATTTTATGCTTTTCAGTGGATTACTGATTTGTCCGTGAAAATTATATTTGATAATTTCACAGTGAAAATTATCAAAATATAATTTCACACTTTTCAATGACGAAACTACTTTCTTAAGATTTTCCCCATGTGGTAGCTCAATTTTATTTTTGCTGACAATTCTGACAATATCAGGCTGTTTCGAGAAAAGCAAAGTTGAAATTGGTAAATAACTTAAATGTCAAAAGTAATAAAAAGAAGAAAACTTACTTCTATTCATCTAAATTACCAATCACCAAATATCGTCTCTTAATTTTTTGTTTGTTTCATTTTTACAGTCTGAAAAATACATTCCTTCCACATGCAAAACTGCTCTTGATGACATTTGGGCATATTTAAGTTTACCATCTTGTTTAAAAATAAGTGACTATTTAATTTGAAATTTAAAGTTAAAGTTAAAAACAACAACAACAATAACAACACCATATTTTCATCGAGTCATAAAATGTCTGAAACCGGGAGATTGCTACGTGTGCTTGCTATACCATGACAGCTCTCGAAAATTTTGGAATTCAATCACGGTTGAAGATTATCACATCATTCCGGGTACCCTCCAATAAATTTCTAGGATATCTTAAAGTAACAGCAAAGTTGTCTATACAAATATTACTTGTAAAAAATGAAGACCATATATAAAAGTCACGTGGGTTGGCTACATAGTAGAGGTGTTAAAATATAATTGTAATACACCTTTTGTTAGCCATTGAAATAGTATTTTATGTATAAAGGATTTTCAAAAATGGTTATTATTCAGAGCGGGCGCAATGGTGCAGTGGTAACACTGTCTGCCTACAAATCAAGGGGTCGTGAGTTCGATCCCCCGCTACTCCACTGAACGAATAAATGACTACAAGACTGACAAAACCAGGACATAGACACATAATGATGGCAACAATAGAAATAAGAGAAGACCTTAACGGAGCAGGAAACAAGTACCGAAAGTACAAGACCGAAGACGACGACCGATAACAGAAGGAAGAACGGAGACAAGAACTGAAAACAAGAGAACAGAGACGAGGACCGCTAACAGAGACAGGGACCGATAACAGAAGAACTGACAACAAGCGAATATATACGTCGACCGATAACAGAAGAACAGAGACAGGGATCGATAACAAAAGAACTGACAACAAGCGAACAGAGACAGGGACCGATAACAGAAGAACTGACAATAAGCGAACAGAGACGTCGACCGATAACAGAAAAAACAGAAACAGGGACTGATAACAGAAGAACTGACAACAAGACAACGAGGATTGATAACAGAAAAATAGAGACGAGGACCGATAAAAGGAATAACATAGACGAGAACAATGGAGCCGGGGATCGATAGAACAATTGACAACATGAAAACGAAGACCAGGACTGATTACAAAATAAAAGAGACGAGAACGGATGACAGAAAAACGAAGACGAGAACCGATAAAGAACAGGACAGAGACCGATAACAGAAAAACTCACAACAAGACAACGGAGACGAATAACAGAATAATAGAGACGAGAACCGATAAATAAAACTGATCCCAGAGGAATGGAGACAGGTATCGATAACAGAGACGGGAGCTGATGACAAAATAATTGACAACATGAAAACGGAAACCAGGACTGATTACAGAAGAAAAAAGACAATGATAGAAGAATGAACAAGAACAAAGACGAGTACCAATAACAGAACAGGACATGGACCGATAATAGGACAACGGAAACGATGACTGTTGACAGAAGAATGAGGACGGGGTTCGATAACAGAGACGGATGACAGAAGAATTGACAACAAGAAAACGGAGACCAGGACTGATTACAGAAGATAGAGAAGAGAACGGATGACAGAAGAACGGAGAAGAACGAAGAAGACGACCAATAACAGAACATCTAACAACAAAAGAACTGAGCCCAGGACCGATTATAGAAGAACGTAGATCACGACCAATAACAGAAGAACTGAAAACAAGAGAACTGCAACGATGACTAATAACAGAAGAACGAACGTGACGACAAATAACAGAAGATCTGACAGCAGAGAAATGCGACGAGAACCGATAACAAAAGAATGAAGACGACGACCAGAAGACTCAGAAAAAGGTACTCAGAAAAAGGTGCCTTTAATTAATGTATATTTTGCATGCACCCGTTTAACCCCTCACACATATTTACACTGTGCAAATATAAGTATAGGCATCTGAGTAGCCACTCTATATGCTTGCATAGAGTGCCAGATAAAATACATGAAAGCTCTATATCTAGCAGATAGGGCAGGAAAGAGTGTAGTGTCCGCTGCGTAAAACCCTGAATATGTTTAAATGCCTTAAACATTTCATTACTATCTTTAATATTACTTCTATATTACTATTATATTATCCTATAGAAAAATGTATGCCATCTTGGATTTTTCGGCCATATTGGATTGTTTTTTTGTTGTTTTTTTTTAAATTCTGTTTTGGTGTCTAATTTGTTTTTACCTACATGTAAACATGCTTTGTGACAAATTTCAGGCTTTTCCTTTCCTTAAAAGTTTTATTTGATCTATCATCCATTTATGATAAAGAAATTTGGCGGCCATTTTATTGGTCATTTTAAATGGCCATTTCAATGGTCAATATCAAGTTTTTCAATTTGGTATCCACCTTTATTGGATTCAGCATACCTTCAATAGGAAAAAATACACCAAGATACCACTTGTACTACAACATGCCTGTCTAAAATACCTTTCAAGATTTATCAGATAGTTAAAAAAGTCCGTGGTGTGCAACATTTATTCAATGAACACGCAATTTAATAAGCTGTACAGTTTATACAGATTACGAGATATTTTGTTCAATGTTGCATTCAATATAAAAATGCATGGGCTTTAAAAGCGATCGTCACATTCAAAATTATACTGATCATTTAGATATGTTAGGCTACAACAACAAATACTTTTCGTTATGTGACACTATGTAATGATAACTAAACATTTTCCAGTTGAAGAGTACGTGACATACATCATAGACAAGGCAGCCGACACTCTCAGACAGGAGTTGCCTTGCAACACAACCCCCGTAACAGTGATGCCAGATGACGACAACATATCATTGTCCTCCAGTATCATCAGCCGTAAGTGGTTTTGTTGTTACAAAGGTTAATCGTAACTACATCCCAATTGCCCAGGGAAGGCGTAGGATAGTTGATTTTTTTACATTTTGTCTGCCCGGCAATTCTTGGTAAATGCGAAGGTTGCAGCGTTTAGTCAACATTAACCTTCTGACAGTCGGGCCTTACCCAGAGCGGGGTCAAGTAAAACTGATCTATGCATGAAATAATGCGTTTAAATAAATTTCGAATATATTGATAATTCTACAGTTCCAACAGTTGTTTACGACATACACGTATCTAATGTACATGGCATAATTATTTTCTTGACAGAAATTGCTGATATGGCTGTAACGGAGAGCTTGTCAAACATTGTGGCAGATGCCGACGTCAACCACTCTGCTATTAGAGCTCCCAGAACTGTCAAAGAATTCAAGGGTAAGAATGTATGTTTAGTTTTTTTTACGGCAAACCAAATATTTTAGCCGTACAGTACTTCGTATTTTTTCATACATTGTAATATTATAAAACAAAATCGGCGTCGAGTCGACAAAGAGAAAACTTCTATCGCGTTATATTTTTTCAAACAAAACCAACGGCTTACACTTAAGAAGAGCAATTGTTTCACAAATTTATGAAGTGAAAAAAATAATCGTTCTATATTATTTTACAGAAGCATTTGGCATAACCGGATGTGACATCACTGATGATGGTCTTCCACCTGTAAGTGAGTAAGGTAATACTTGACAATAATTTCAGACTTTTTTCATCATATCTATTGTTGAAATATTTGGAAACGTAATTGTTATAAAGACAAAAGTTTAGTCCCTCCTGTTTCAAACACCTGACCATATTCACTGTACACAAACGCTCCTTTGTTATGAAGATATATTCTATTATTGAAAAAGGTCCGAATATGTTGATATAACACAACATTCCAATATAAATTTAAGTACATGTTTATACAAAATACATGACTGAGAAAACTTCTTCCACACATTAGCAACGAGGCTCGTTGATTATTCCCACATTTACGACGTTTGACGGAAATGACCGAAAAGTTGCGATCTCTGTATTTATACCAGATAACTGCAATTGTGCTCCTGTCCTCTTTGTAAAGTTCAAGTTGCGCCAATTTCTGTTGTTCTCAAAAATAAACAATATTGAATAAATATGTATATTTGATCATTTCTCGAAAACAAGTCTTTTGTTACCCAGTTTGTTCTTTAAATTTCAGATAAAAAGAAGAGGAAAGAAACTACGTGCATATGTGTTTATGTTTGTTTTGTTTTGTTGTTTCGTTTTGATTTTTTGTTATGTTTGGTTTGTTTTGCTTTTCTCGTTTTTATAGTATTACATTTGTTTTTCCCATGTTCTGCTCAGGCATCGATTTTATATCTTTAAATATTATTGTGATAAACATGTTTCTGAATTTTATTCTTACTAATAAAGTCCATTGAAACATGCTCTTGTCTATAATTTTCTATCTTCCAGTGAACTGCTCATTGAAGCAGCAACAGTATGAAACATGTCGTTTCCTATAATTCCTATAATTTTAGCTACACATCATATTGCAAGGAAAAATACGATAATTAAGGCATGATAAACACTCAACAAAACATTTGCAAGACGCTAGTAAACTTAAATAAGTTTGTGTATGATTTTTGAGTTTAATTTGAATAAGCTTTTGCATGATCTTTGCCAAGCATTTTCAAAAGCCTAAGCGTTTGTTTTAGTTTGTAACAATCTATTCTTTAAAAAAGAAGAAGCAAAAAAAAAAAAACAACAACACCCCCCCCCCCCCCAAAAAAAAAAAAAAATCGTAGTACAATGTATATGTATTCATCAGTGTTCATTGCAGTTTTATCATAGTTTAGCACGGATATTCCGAGCTCACTGACCTTGAAGTGTATATGTAATTGAAAGGCGGATAGATAAGGTACTCACGGACTTCGCATTGTATTGTACAGGCTGTATTATGGTTTGCATATCTCTATGAAGAGAATGCACGTGGTGAAAAATTGACAAGATTTTAAAGAATGTTAATCATTTTTGAAATAGGAACTCTTCACCTTTAATGAATAAATATTTATGTGAAATTGACCTTTTGAACATATGCCATTACTTTGTAGTAGTAGGATGAACAATTTGGTTTTCTGCAGCAGCTACAGAAATTGTATAAGGTAAGTGGACAAGTCACTTGTTTCTTGGTATGGTTAAAAAAAAGATATCGCAAAGATACCGGAAATGAACGGAATTTAAGGCGGTACTGAAAAATATGTTTAAAGGTATTACGGAGTTAAGCCTCGGTGACACATTTCTGTAGATCTGTGGCGTTATTTCATTTTTGAGAGTTTTTCATGAACTGGTTTCAACGACGTCATGGTTTTCCCAGGCTTCAACATTCTCAACGGGATTAATGTCCAAAAAGTCCACCTGGCCTGGCGTTTGTAGAACGTTTTCAAATAATTGCAAATGCTTACATCAAGGGCGACAACTGATGATGTATATAAAGTTAGTTCCCTATTTCTCATTCCTTATTCCTTTTTCGAATAAAGAATAAGGAATCAGTTCCTTATTCCTTTTTTTCGAATAAAAAAAGGAAACTAGTTCCTTATTCCTTATTCAAATCTAAATAAGGAACAGCAGAATTAGTATTTATATAAGATAAAATTATGGTTGATCAGAAAACTAGAACGGTTCTTTCTTTCATAAATCTGTTGAAAATTGCACAAATCAATCATCAAAATCATAGAATAAAGCATCCGCATCGACTTATGTTTAAATAATATTGAAGTCGAACAAGGAATAAGGAAGCCGTTCCTTATACCTCATTAAAATTATTGCATAAAGCATCTGCATAAAAATATTTTGAAAATATGTTAAAGTCGAATAAATAATTAGGAACCAGTTCCTTATTCCTTATTTAACTCCGAATAAGAATCAGAAGAAAATACGCCAATAAAGACGGCAGTTGCAGTTATTGCTGATAAACCTTCATTAGAATTGCAAAGATCAATCATTAAAATCATTGCAGAAAGCATTCGCATAAAAATATTTTTAAAAAATGTTCAAGTTCATTCGACTCCGAATAAGGAACAGAGGAAATACGTAAAGAAAGACATCAGTTGCAGTTTATTTTTTATAAATCTGTATTAAAATTCCAAGGACAAATCTTTATAATCATTTCATAAATCATTCATTTTATATTATGGATCCTTGCAATTCTCATGCAGATTTATAAGAATTAACTGAAGCTGCTGTCTCTATTTGCGTATTAGCCTCTTTAACTTATTCAAAGTTGAATAAGAAATAAGGAACTGGTTCCCTATTCCTTATTCGAATTTTACATTTTTTTTTCAAAATAGTTTATGCTGAAGCTTTATGCAATGATTTAAATGATTATTTCTTGCGAGTCTAATGCAGTTATATTAGAAATAATTGCAACTGGTTTCTTTCCGGGGTATATTATTCTGTTCCTTATTCGGAGTTGGATAAGGAATAAGGAAGTGGTTCCTTATTCCTTATTCGACTTTGAAATTTCTTTCAAAACATTTGATGCAGATGCTTTATGCAATGATCTTAATCATTTATCCTTGCAATTCTAATGCAGATTTATCAAAAATAACTGCAACCGGTGGCTTTCTTTATGTATATTCTTTTGTTCCTTATTCGGAGTCAAATAAGGAATACGGTACTGGTTCCTTATTCCTTTTTCGACTTTGACATTTCTTTCAAAATATTTTTATGACGATGCTTTATTTAATGATTTTAATGATTGATCCTTACAATTTTTATGCAAATATATCAGAAATAATTGGTGTCATTCTTTGGATATCTTCTGTTCCTTATTCGACTTGAACAGTTTTTCCAAATAGTTGCATGCAGATGCTTTATGCAATAATTCAAATGATTGATCCTTGCAATTCTTATGCAGATTTATTAGAAATAATTGCAATTGCGTTCTTTCTTTGCGTATCTTCTTATGTTCTTTATTCGGAGTTGAATAAGGAATAAGGAACTAGTTCCTTACTCCTTATTCGACTTTAACATATTTTCATAATATTTTTATGCAGATGCTTTTATTTTAATTAGGTATCAGAAACGGGTTCCTTATTCCTTATTCGACTTGAATATTTTTTCAAAATATTTAATGCAGATTTTTTTATGCTATGATTGTAATGGTTGACCCCTACAATTCTTATGCAGATATATCAGAAATAATCGCAAATGGTGTCATTCTTTGTGTTATTTTTCTGTTCCTTAATCGGTGTTGAATAATTTTATTCGACGTGTACATTTTTTTTCCAAAATATTTTTATACTAATGCTTTATGCAATGATTTTAATGATTGATCCTTGCAATTCTTATGTAGGTTTATAAAAAATAACTGAATCTGATGTTTTTCTTTACGCATTTTCTTCTGTTCCTTATTCGGAGTCGACTAAGGAATACGGAACTGGTTCCTTATTCCTTATTCGACTTTGACATTTCTTTCAAAATATTTTGATGCAGATGCTTTATGAAATGATTATAATGATTGATCTTTGCAATTCTAATGCAGATTTATCAAAAATAACTGCAACTGGTGTCTTTCTTTACGTATTTTCTCCTGTTCCTTATTCGCAGTCAAATAAGTTGAATAAGGAATAAGGAACAAGTTCCCTATTCCTGATTCGACTTTAACATTTTTTAAAAATATTTTTTGCAGATGCTTTATGCAATTATTATAATGAGGTATAAAGAAACGGTTCCTTATTCCTTGTTCGACAAAAGAATATTGTTTGAAAATATGTCGATACGGATGCCTTTAACTATTCTATGATTTTAATGATTGATTTGTGCAATTTTCAACAGATTTATGAAAGAAAGAACCGTTCTAGTTTTCTGGTCAATCATAATTTTATTTTATATAAATACTAATTCTGCTGTTCCTTATTTAGATTTGAATAAGGAACCAGGAACTAGTTCCCTATTCCTTTTCTGAAAAAGGAATAGGTAATGAGGAATAGGGAACTAACTTTATATATATATATATATACATCAACAACTGATGTACGACAGGCAAGTGTTATGCGCTGAATTATGGGTTCTACTTAAGGTGGATTTACACAACACAATGTTCCGTTTTATATTTTAATGTTTCTTTCTTAGTGGAATACCACAGATAATATATATAACATATACACAGGTTATCCTGATGTTAACAAATTGATATTAAAAACAGTAACGATTATTTCTAGTGGAAAGCCACAATACAATGTTATCACTTGGAAATCCAAAATGTAACTGACCCTAAATTTTCTACATGTATCTTTACAATAATTCTAAAATTGATTTCGTTTTAACTGACCAATAGAATTTTAACATTTTTGTGTCTTAAATAACAAAATGACCAATCAGGTTTCAATACAAAATAAGGTAACATAGCAACATAGAATTTATAGCAACAATCATCACCTGGATATTTTATCAGTCCATAAGGTTTTAACAACATGATAAGTACAGACAGCTTAATTGACCTTATCACCTTATATATTATAAAACTTTTAGCACAGTTGATTGGACAAAGAGGAAAAGCCGCATTTTAATCTTCCAGTTACATAATTTTAAATTTGACATCTGTTATTGAAACATATACAATTTGTAACTTAACATATTTGAAATTTCACAAATTTTGTTTTTAAAAATATGACCTTTTAGAAAATGATTATATATATAAATATTTGTGTTTAAAAGAAAATCATCATGCATATTTATTCTTTTTTTTTTTTTTTTAAATGAATTTTATCATTTTTCGGCTGCACAACACTTCTCCCTCCTTTAAGACTATTTCACTCCTGTGAAATGAAGCATAAATACTATTTAACAAAAATAAATATCATTAAATCAGAATACTGTTTACATAAGATTTTCAGTTACAGAAATATATACTTGAATATAAAGCACCGATTTTGCTGAAAAGCGTAAGTACCATTTCACTAATAAATAAATATCCTAATCACTGTCTTATTGTAAACAACACAGTCTTAATGACGTCTATTTCTGTTTAAATTTTCCCCTTTCCCTTGGGTTGGTCTTCATGATTATTGTACCTCTCCATTTCTATTGTGGGAAACCGTTCTCCTCGAATCTTACTTGGAAAGAAATCTTTGATTTCTGTTTCCCCTTTTTTTTTCAATAGATATTAGTTTTCTTGTCAAAAAATGAGGCAATCTCGTCCTCTCAAGTTCGTTGGTTTTTCATTTTTAAAGGGTATTCCTTATTTTCGGTGTTTTCCTTTATTCTTCATTTATTTCATAAGCCTTTCATCTTTTGGTTGTGTTCAGTTCTCACAAGCTGTTTCTTAATCGTCATTAATTTTCTTTAAATTCTAAAAATAAATAGTTTTGTCCATTTTCTTAAGTTTTTTATAGTCATTCCTTTAATTGCCTTAGCGAGTTTTTTTTTTTTTTTTTTTAAAAAT